GGGGGGGTCTTGTGGCCTAGAGGTTAAAGTGTTGGCCTCTCATCCAAAGGTCCCGGGTTCAAATCCGGGTAGTGACCGAAAAATATTCTTCTCTAAAATTATCTCCTTTCACCTCCCTTTCTGCTCTCTAACAATGTTCTGTCGTCTGCTTTCGTCTCCTCTTTCTGCCCCCACCCCCTCACCTCCTTTGCCCTCTCCTCTGGGCTCCTGACTCTTTTTGCAGTCTTTCTACTGCTACTCCTTGGCTCCTTCTTACTGCTGTCTTTCAGCCACACCCCTGATCTTCTGGTAGGAAAGATCTACACCTAGCCTTCTCAGACAAGGGCGAAAAATCTCGGAGGGCCCGTTAAAGATCTCTTGGTGGTCTAAATTCGATAAGAGTAGGCTCGGCCACCACCCGGGCAAAATTCAAAATTTCCTACCAACTGAAAAAAGTTTAATGTGTCCTGTGCGCTCATATGACCTTATGCAGTTGCGAGCACCGTAAAACACTTACTAGACACACAAAAAAAAATCTAGCTTCAATCAGTCTGTGTTATGGGGAGATAACTTGATTTCAGCTTTTGGGCCAAAAAAATAATATAGTCCAATTTAGCTGTGTTAATTTTAGGCCAAGAAAATGTGGTCTATAAAAATTGTTCTTCATTTCTTTTTTTCCCAACCTTTGAGAGTATCATGATTGACATCAACTTTGTAAGGACTCCCTCTCCCCCCTCTGAGCTGGCGTAAGTTGTGAATGGTCCCTAATGGCTCTACTGATACAAAGACTTGCCACAGCACTCAAGTCATCTTTAGACAAAATGAATGTTCACAGTTCGATGTGATCCCACCTGGAGCGAACTTATAGGCCCTACCCACCTAGAGTATAATGAAAGTTCAGGTGGAGAGCTCAGACCTGAGTGTAATGTTTGGGGAAAACAAACACATCTGCCCGTTCATACGTCAGTGTGATCCCATGTGAACCAAATATTGTACGGTTCCGAGATTTATGACAGACCTGTGATCACATTCACGAGAGTGGCTGACCTGTGACACAATGGGCAGTTCAATGATCATAAATTTTCACTCTGGGTTGATTTGCTGTGCCCACCCAGGTTTTTCTTCTGTAAATTATTATCTGAAATGCGGAATCTTAGCTGAATGTAGACTTTCATGGCAGGATCTAAGGGGTGACGTTGGTACAGTAAAAATTTTGTTTTCTTAAAACAGTGGGATCGTAAGCGAACCTGGATCTTAAGCGAACCTGGATCTTAAGCAAACCGGGATCGTAAGCGGTGGGATCTAAGGGAGAGACATTAAAAATGTTCTGAAAACTCACCCTGAGATTGGGGAAGTGCACACAGAGCCTGCATTGATGAGCTGATGTCCATGCAGTAAACAACTACACCAGGGGTAGTTTTCTTTTCTACTGGGGTAGCAGAAGCAGCTTCTTCTTTCTCTTCCTCTTTTGGCTTGGTAGGTGGTGACAGCATGAAGTCAAACTGTTCTCCTTTGGGGATCTCATCATCAGATATGTCAAGGTTACGATTTATCTCCCCACAGAACTCACTGTTGAGAAGAAAAAGCAAGATATGAGGCTGCAGTTATGGTCATATAAAAACTAGTCTATGAACTGTTGTCATCCTAAATATGCCGCCAAGGACAACACACAGGTCCAGGGGCTGCCACACCAAACAATTAAGAATTTAGAAAGTGTTTCCAAGCGTTGTTATTCCTTTTAACGTTCTTTGATAAACTTGAGCTATTCTTGGAAATTGAATGTACCTACTAACCAAAAAACCACTTTACCCACAGGAAAGCCTATAAATCTCCATGGGTAAAGGTTTTTTGCGGTCACCTGGTATGTATGCCTACTTTTATAAAATATTAGTTTTGTCTCAGTATGAGCAGAAATAATCAAGTGGGGACAGTATGGCAGTTTTTGTTTACATGGTTATCAAAAGCAGCTTGGATGTATGGATTTTGACTGCCATGCCCCCATCCCCGATCACCACATGACTTTCAATTAAACATCAGATCAGCCTCTGCTTCTATTTCAAGCCAGAAGGCAAATCCCTGTGCTGCTTCATTCACTAAAACCAAATTCAGAAACCTCCCAACCAAACTTTCAAAAATTATTTCCAAATCATATTCATTCAAATAGTTTCCTTCACTCTCAGAGTACGGAGCAATTTCATAAAGAATAGTTTCAGGTATACATTTTTTAAACTTTTGTTGCAAACAAAACTAGGAAAACTATCACTGTTTCGAAAATAAAATATTCAACTACGGCCCTACTTTGATGAATTTCCATATCTCATTAAGTACAAGAAGAAGTAAGAGATTAACATGCATGCATATCTGAGAAGTCTTCTCATAGCCCAAATCAGGATTCAAACGAAGATACTTTCTCCCTTTTCTAGTTTAAAGGCAAAGATAGAGAGATTAGAGCATGTATATTTATTCCAGGCTCAAAGATCAGCAATGCACGGAACATATCTGTATTCACAACAATCATGATGACAGATAGAGTAAATAGTCAAACTAACCATATCCAGATACTTGTGTCACCATCAGATTCCAGTTTACCAGTGCTGGTGAGGACGGCCCTGCATTTCCCACATCTAATTGGGTCCCCCGTGACCAGTTTTGGCTCTTCCTCCAAATTTCCAAAGGGGATGAGAACGACATTGGCATCTGTTTTCTGTTGCATTACTTTCTTTGTAGGAGCTGAAGCGGCACGATAAGTCCGTGGGGGAAGAGGTGAGGGTAGAGGGCGCGCTCGGGCAGCTCCTGTCAAAGAAAAAGGTTGTGACATTTATCCTAGCATTGGATGTTGTTGAACTTGCGGGATTAATCGTGAGGACTGAGTAATGGGCATCTGCTGTTGGTTTACCGTTTAATGATGGCACTACCAGTTGTTGCTGCTGTAGTTGTTGACACTGTGTCTGTGGAGGCACGAGGTCTGATTAAGGAAAAAGTTTCCTTCCTCCATAAAATCAAAAGTATGCAACCAACAGCCACTATATTTTGTGACGTCATGACATCACATCTAAGAAATCTCAACCCCAAATTGCAAGAGCATTGGTGAACGGGTCATAGAGCTGTGATGTGTCAAGTGTGGTGCTCTTGTGCACTTTGTCCAAGGCAAATTCGAGGAAAATGGCTGGGCAAAACATTGGTGCAACTTCTCATGCTACGATGTCCGAGTTGTGATTACATTTTCACATTTTCTACTCTTCTCGGCAAATCAGTCTGCAGTTGAAACCCATGGTGATCTATACAACGTAATAGGGAATAATGCCCCATCAATTCAAAAAGTAAGAAAATGGATCAGGGAGGGTGAAGGTGGGAGGTCTGACATGAAAGATGAAGCGCACACAGAAAACACAGGAAAAGGTGATGGACATTGGGTTTTTTCGACACGAGTGGCATCATACTGAGCTGGCTAGTCACACCTGACGCAACTGTCAATGGTGACTACTATAGGTTCGAGCTCCAAGACAAACTGAGACCTGCGATCTGGAAAAAAGACCCGCTTTGCTTGAAGAAGGCGTCATCCAGCATCATGACAATGAGCTTGTTCACAAGTCCAGAGTTGTGAACGAGCTTCTTGAGGGCTATTCGTGGGAATTATTGAAACACACGCCATATTCACCCGATCTCGTCCCATGCAACTTCCATCTCTTCCCCAAGGTGAAAGAAATGCTGCGAGGTCGGCGATTCGAGGACAAGGACCAGATTCAAGAAGCTATAAGAAAAGCACTCGGGACCTTGGACAAACGATCACTGACCACTGTCTTTGACCGCTGAGTACACCAAAAGGAGAAATGTCTTGAACTTGATGGTTCCTACTTTGAAGAGGCATATGAATAGGCTTTCTGTTGATACCAAATACAATGTGATTTATGATTAAATGTGAGGACAGCATGACAGGGAAACTTTATTCTGAGATAGACCTCGTATTTGCTGAGTAAGAGCATTAGCCGAATTGCGGGGAAGCAGTGCTGTAGTGCTGTGTAAAGTAGTTCATTAGTAGATCCAAACACAGATTGTTGGTTAGAAAATCCAAACACAGATTGTTGGTTAGAAAATCTGAACAGGGGACCTGCAGGCTGCCCTAAGAGTGAAGGAAAGTCTGAAAGAAAGAAAGAATAAAAATGTGTCCACTTAGTCAGCAACTAAAAGGAATAGCCCACATTCATCAATAAACAATAGAAAGTTCAATCTTTTTTGTGCTTGTGTTCATGTTTGATTTACATAATATACAGTGAAATCCACTTGTAATTTGCTAAAATAAAATAAACTTTTGTCAATAATACAGTCAAATCTTGTTGTACCGCCTCCCCATTGTACCGCCAGCCCCGCTTACTGCCAGGTTTTGCCAATGTAGGAAAAGAATCCGCTATATAAACATAGTATTTGCACCTTCCATCCGCCAACTGTCTCAGCTGTATGGTCCTTATTAAACCTACTGTAAATTTACCTATTGTACCACCAGCGAACTGGCCGCCAGAAGTACTCAGTACACAACAGGCTACACTGGTGCTTGCTTAAAAATCTTTCACACCCAAGTTTCTATGAGCTAGGCCAAGGTCTAGATCAAACGCTTTTCGACGATTTTCCCCCTCCCTGCCTGTCCCACCTCCCCACCCTTGTCTTGTAAATTTCAGGCAATATGGATTGATATATAGTGATGCAGTGTGCCGCAAGCGAACACAATACAATGTGTAATGTAGAAGAGTGCAGTTAAAATAAAACATAATTTTGTTATTCGGCATCAAATTTCACTCCCTGTGTGAACCCGACAAATCATCACGTGCCGATTATGAAAATGCTATTATTTTTAGGGCTTGGTCAATTTTAAAAAATTGAAATTGAATTTTTTAATCACCTGGAGAAACCCTAAAGGAACCTTGCCATCTCGGCCTCGAGGCAAAATATCTGGCGTCATCAGACATCAGCCCAATAACTTTCAGGTTGGCGAATGCCCGTGGGACTTTTATTTAGTGAGGACTCACGCGCAAGTCTCAGTGACAGACAGATCAAAGGGAGATAACACATTAATTCATCTAAGGATTGGTAAACAAGTTCCCTTGATGTTGCGCAGTCAGTGCTACATGTATTTAACAGAGGATATGAAAACATCGTTGTACCGCCAGCCCCGCTGTACAACCAACCTCATGCTCGTCCCAAGGTAGGCGATATATAGGGGTTTGACTGTATATTCATGCCTATAAGCCAGCCAGCTTTCATCTGTTGCCATTTTTAGACTGCAACAAAAATAAATTACCTTTGATAACATAATATATAGGCATATTGAGGCCCTTGTGCTAGTTGTACAATGATATATCAGAGAATGAGGAGGGCGGATAGCTCATAGCGATGTTGACACTTGAGATGTAAAAACCTATAAGAACTTGTGATGTAACTGAACATATTGCAACCATTCTCAGACAAAGTGGTACGAGGATGGGAGCAGCCCCTTTTCATTTCTTCAAAGCACATCTAGATCTAGTGAACAAAAGACTTGGCCTTGTCAAGTTCACTTTAAGTGGATTCCACTGTAGTATGCATTCCAAACATAAATAGGGCAAACATTCTTTCTTAAGGGACAATTATACAGTACCTCTGTACATTTAGTGAACATAAACTAGTATTTTGAACAGTGAGCCATCTTTTTAACAGCTGACCAAGGGGGCAATGCTAATGCTCTTACTTCGCAGATTTGAAGAACCAAGTCTAAAAAGTCTGCTCATGCCCTGATGAAAATTGCTGAGCATCCCGCCACTTTTGCTTCTTCCCAGAGGTTTTGTGGACCCATCTAATCCTGCACTTGTCAGCTGGACATCACCTGCACTACCAGTTGTTTTCTTCCCCTTTTTCTTGGACTTCAGAGCTTTCTTTTGGTCCTTCGTCAGGGGAGTGAGACCTTTCACGGAGATCATCTTGCGATACGAGTCCTCAATTGTAGGGTCATAGTCATCGACAAATGTGTTGTTAACGAACCGGATGGTGATGCTAGATTTGCCCACAGCACCAGATCCAAGCATGACAACCTGATTAAAGAAAGAGGGAAAAACAAAAGAAGAAAGTAATAACAAATTTACAGAAAGACAAGAAAGTCATGTCCTTACGACAAGTATTATAGTAGGATATTCACGTATTATATCTCAGCAAATGAAATAAGATCAAGGTCATATAATATATACCTACTAATAATTTATCAGAAAAAGTTGGTTCTTTTAAAATCACTGTTTCATTAGAATCTGAACATAAATAATGCAACAAAGAAATGAGATGAGCCCAGTCAGTTATGATTAGTTATGATTTTATTGGCTTTCTTCAGTGGGAGTAAGCTTATTGTGATGCATTTCCCTACATAGCAATTCTGTCTGTCTGTCTGTCTGTCTACCCTGCTATTGCCCTGCCGTGCCCTGCCTGTCTAGTCTGGTCTGATCATCCATCCATTTATCTATCCGTCCACCCACACATCCATCCACATCTGTCCGTCTGTTTGTCTCTCACCTTGTAATCACTGCTTGATCTTGGAATGATCTTTACAAGACCAGAAAAAGCCTCATTCACCCCAGTGCCTGTGAGCGCTGAAGTTTCATAAAATGGAATACCAAGTTTTGTGGACAACTCCCTTCCTTGTTCTGTTGTGACTTGTACTTCAGCTGAACCAACCAAATCTTGTTTGTTGGCCACCAATATCTGAAATGAGTATGTAACAGCTCTTTAGCTTCTTAATTTGAATGATATGGCCAGTTTAATATATTTTGAATCAATATAACTCTTATTTTTACATTACTTTTTTCTTTACTTGACTATACCACTCTTAAAAAGTCACGTTTTACTTTACAAATATGACTTAATGTTGCATTTACTAAAGTTCTTTCCTGTTCAATACTACTTTTTTACCACGATACGTACTCGGCCCCCACCCCCACCCCATTCCTTCAATAAACTTCAAACAAATAATGAAATTCTGTTAATATGTCACCTTCATTGTCATAAACAGCGATTATCAGATATACTTACAGCGAACACATCATCTGCATTTTTTAATCGTTTCAACCAGTTGAAAACTGCCTCTGCCTCAACAAAGCTACTTTTGTCCACAATGCTGTAGATAATAGCAAATCCATTTGCAGTTGACACATAAAGATCTTTCATTGATGAGTATTCTTCTTGACCAGCAGTATCCAAAATGTCAAGTAAACAAGTCTGAAATGAGAAGAAAACGATGAAAAAGCAATGTCATTATCAGTTTTCAGACAAAAACAGGGTGAGGCTGAAGGGTTTAATTAATTCCAGGAAAATAGGTTGAGAAGTTTCAATTTGCTTGCAGGCTTATTCAACAATGACACATATATGTGGCATTGCGGTGAAATCAGGCGCTCGTCAAAATTATTTACTCGATGAAAACTGGCTTTTTTTTTCTGGCTCAAAATCTTATTGTTTATGTGTCCATTTAAAAACACATTTCTCTGTGGATTTTACAGGAAAACGTTGATCAAAGGTACAAAAAGTGTAAATCTGCAGCTTCAAAGTACACTCAGTCTTTATTGGGAGTCGCCAAACTTTGGCGGCTATATTTTCTCGCTTTGTACCTCTGACACCAGTGCCATCCCCACTTGTTTCTATCACAAATATAATGACTTTTATATTCAGGATAGATTTTTATGAGTAATTACAAGAACTTCATATGCCTAAACATTGACACGTAGGCCTATAACGTCCATGCATGTCATGATACACGAATAGGAAAATAGTCTAAATAATAATATAATTAACAATTAAATTTATTTTTAATAAAAACACAATTTATAGACTGTTATATCATGTATAAGATGTGTGGCTTACAAGCCAACATATATATATATATATATATATATATATATATATATATGAGTTATGAGTAACTTGAATATAAATTCCTATAATACGTTAGACAATAATTGAAACTGTGACAGTTTAATAGGCCTAATGCCATACCGAAGACAGCTTATTATGATAAAGAATCTATATATTATATATAAATTATTATCATTGAAACGTTATTGTCGTGCAATAGTCTAATTGAATTCTAGCAAAAATTAAAGTGGGGAGGGGGGGGGGGGGGGGGGCTATTATAATCATCGGCTTATGATGTTCGTTCATGTTTACAGTACAACAACAAAAAGGGCAAATCTGTGAAGCCAAACCATGCATACCTCTCCATCGTCATCCGAACAATCGTCGCTGTCGGACAGGACGACATCGTTCACCTCTGAAACTTTCACCTCCTCTTCATCTTCAACATCATTTCCAAGGTAAACAAATTTGCTCCCGAACTCCATGGTGCAGAGAATTAATCTTGGCTCCGAGTTCTTCAACTTCTTACTTGTGAGCGAAAACCAGATTTCTTAATACATGTCATGTATTTTTAATAGTAGATTCTATACTTTAAAAGATGGCGCACTATCTCCCTTCTTTACTGAAAAGTTGTTTTCCTATTTTACTTCCGCGTGGAATTCAGGTTCCTCTGTAGCACCCGGTTTGTGTTCAACTCCCTGGTTCAACGTTGCGTTGTTTACTATTTATTAATGATGGGCAGGTATCGATTCTAGGTATCGATACTTAGATACCTAGTGGTATCGGTATCGGTACCGATACCTGCTCTAAACATCGATACCTATGTGTTATCTATCCCAGGGCTGCCAAAGCAAATGACTTGGGCCTTGAGAATTTTTTGTTTATCAAAACTGATAAGTTTTCCTGGGGGGGGGCAAGCGTTTCAATTGAATTTAGTGATTTTTTAACAAAAAGAGAGAAGTTTTTCATGAATTCTATCTAGATTCTAGATCTAGTGATTTTGCAAAATCCTCACTGGCAACCCTGATTTATCCTCATTGGTTTAATTTAAAGTTGCTAAATATCTAGTAAATTGAATTGCCTTTTTAGAACTCTTGTGTTTTCTTTCTCCAAATACGAACATTTTTTGCAAAGTTGACTTTCCTCCCATGCTTCACTTAGTTTTTGTTTTTATTCTCATATTTGGATATTTCTCTCTATTTCTCCTTTACAAATAATTTGTAACTTGTCTAGACGCGGTTACCTAAATACTTGGAAAAGTATAGTTGTATTTTTGTCTTTACTTATTACCAAAGATAGTGAATAACAAGATGGGCCAGTCAGCCAAAAAAGTGTCCGCAGGAAGTATGCTCTTTGCTTCAGATGGCGCTGCAGTCTGTTTTGAAGCTCTCTTTCGTTTTTCCAGAAGAAGAATAGGAATAGCACCTCCTTGCGTGCGCAGATCGACTGCTGTTCATCAGCAGTTCGGGTACGTTCAGTGCGGAGTTTTATTTTTTTTATATTTTAATGACCTCTCGCCCTTTCATTCTAAAGTCAAATTAAACGAAGAAAACAATCACCCTTTCCTCCGGAAGAGGTTTTTTGTCAGCGTAACCATTTTAAAAAAGCGTTCTTCCGAAATTTATCCCAAAACTTGCTAGTTTCACTTTGATTTTTAAAAACTCAAGTAGGGTAACTCTGTTCGCAAAGAGTGCGCTTTTGTGAAGAGGGCGCCACCAAATTTTGAGGACACTTTTTTAATTGGCTCAAAGAGAGAAGTGACCCATCTTGTTATGTACTATCATTGTTATTACCCCCGGCGTATATTACTAATAGCATTAGGTATCGAGGTATCGGTATCGATACCTTGAAAAGTACTAGGTATCGACATCGATACCTAAATTATGGTATCGGCCCATCACTACTGTTTATATTATATTGGCCTAGAGCCTACCCCAAATACGGAATGAATATGTTACCATAAATAGAGGTTTCCCAATTGGTGGAAAATGAGCAAGCGCCAAAGACAGAATTCCAGGCCTAAGATTAGTAACAGACTAAACGCCGCTGTTAGCAAGAAGAAGCGGACGTTTGGGGTCTGATCTTAGCGCTAAGGGTCTGATGGATGGAGGTTGTCACATCTGGTCAAATCGAAGTGTAGGCCTTCATATTATATTATACAGGCTCACATAGTCTAAATTGTTTGTTAGTGTTTTAAGAGATATGAGTCAACACAATTCTCTTACACGGGTAAATTTTTACTTTAGGACCCGCACGCAGATACACTGTTTATTATGGGTTAAACTAAAGATCATCTACTACAATATTTGGTTAAACCGGAGATACTACGGTATGTTTTGTGTGTGGGGGGGGGGGGGTTCCTGCAAAACACATATATATAGGCTCAATATGATAGCCACTAAAACCTTCGCGAAACAATTTGTTTTCAAGAAAATATTGGACCTAACTGCAAAACATCAAATCGTGGTGGAATATACAGGGTTTTCTGATGACTGAAGACATTAAGCCACTGCAGTTGCTATTTAAGAGGAATCCTGAATTCCACGTGGTAGTAAAGAAGAGAGGTCGTGCACTAGGCCCTCTCAGTCCAAGCCCTGTATCCCGGACGTTTGGCTCCGGTATTGGAGGCCAGGGTGGACGACCTTATCTTGATAAGCTTGCCTCGAGACTGGTCCTTATCTTATCGAGGATCAAAGGGAAAAACGGCGATTAAAAGCGAAAAGTGGCTATAGGCAGATGTTCTAATACTAATACGTATACAGGTGACGGAACACTTTTGCATTACGTTTTTGCGTGCTGATAGTGTAATAGAGATGTGTGTGTTGCCGTCATTGTTTCTTTCAGTCCTCTTGGGTGTACACGTTTTTTTCGTTTGGATGTATTTTCACTACTCTCAATTCTAAGGATTAAATGGGTGCTTATATTATGTGTTTTAGTGTTTAACCCAGATTCTAGTTTTCTTTCATCTTGAATATTATTGTTATAACTAGAATCTACTGTTACGGTGAAAAAGTTTTCAGCTGACGTCTCCATTTCAGCGCAATGAACCGTGTGAGCAACATTTGAACATGGGAAGAAATTAAAGTGTAGGGGATGCGGCAGTAGAAGTGCCAACCAAAAGGGAGATGCAAAATAACAATAATATAGATTTCCAAAAAGATTCTGAAAAAAGCACAGTGGATCTAAAGTGTTCCAAATAAATTAATCGTAGAAGATGTCACAGATTACAACAATGTATATGGGAGTTTGCTCTCTGCACTTCCCACCTGATGTACCTTTGACACTGGCTGGAAGATTTATGGTGCCCACGGAGCCTCCATCAATATTTCCAGAAGTACCACCATCATATTGTGGCACACTAGCTCCAAAAAAGAGAGCAACTACAACAAGTTCAGCTTCTTCTAGAGCTGCTGATATTGATGAAATGAATATATTTAAAGAAAGAGATGTTTTCAAGTTCGACTCATTTTATCAAACAATGGATGACGTTGACAGCCATTGGCAATGTTTCAAATAGTAAAGATTATTATAATACATTTGTCTTGCTCAGCAGAACTCGAGATGGCCCTGTTTTTGCTTTTTCCAGGTAGATATCTATTTTACTTTCGTTCACCATACCCAAGACCACGTGAAAGAGGTTTCATTTGAAGCTTCACAAACTGAAGCACGTCAGGCATCCAGGCTTCACTAGAGATGTTGTCACATGCTAGAGTCAGTTAGCCTGGATGAAATTTTGCACTTCGTGTGTAACCTTCCAGAGAGACATTGTTGGCCTACACTACTACTACTACTTGTTGGGTAGGTTTGTTTTTTGTTTGTTTTTTTAATGGAAACCGCTGGAAAAAACTGTTCAGAAACTGATTAGTGGTGATTTGGTGGGACTTTCCAACGATATTCCATCTTGATATAATATTGTTATCGTAAGCTGATTCGGCTGGCAAATATCTTCATGAAAAGATTTGCGGAGCAAATGAAGGAAAGGCGAAGAAAAAAATATCAAAGTAACTTTTTTTCAGAGGAGATGTAAGGGATTGTGTTCAGTTAATATAATAATAATAATAATAATAATAATAATAATAATAATAATAATAATAATAATAATAATAATAATAATAATAATAATTATAATAATAATAATCATCATCATCATTCATATATATATATATATATATATATATATATATATATATATATATATATATATATATATTATGTGTGTGTGTGTGTGTGTGTGTGTGTGTGTGTGTGTGTGGGTGTGTATGTGTGGGTGTGGATGTCAAATTTATTTTCTTTCATATTTGTTGAAACATGTAGAATGAAGACGATGTTGCAAGTGAAGAACAAAAGGTATGCCACTAGTGTGCCACGATCTTTTTTGTGGTAAAATGCAAACGTAATTCATTTTCATGTAGACCAATTGATACACTTTGTCACTGATGTCATCTTCCTTTGTCATAAGAGCCGATAAACTCTCACAACAAAGCAGCAATAACAAAAATGCATTGAATTTAAGTAAGGTTCCTTGTACGCCAGTCTAGTGAGTACAGTGCGAGAATGCTCCATCACCCGCACCAGCGCACGTGTCTATCGCCGCTTTTCGCACTGACCCTCCGCGAACGTGTTCGGTCTCCAGTGTTGAGGCCAGTGGTGCGGGATGTGAGGTCTGAAACTGAGAAAGCCTAGGTCGTGCACAATCTTTTGAAGTATACAAACCAAAATACAAGTATTAAAGAACTGGTTTTAGCTCACAAGTAAGTATGGTTGAAGAACTCGAATTCTACTTCGCCGCGTGCAAACAGATTGGAAAACATGCAGTCACTAATTAAATGAAATGCCACGTAAAGGCGCGACCTTAACATTAAATATGATGATTAATAACATAATTTATTTGTTTTAGGAATCTTTGTTTTTCGTATAGAGCATGAACTCTTCTGGGGAAGATTGTGTTAAAATTTGGACATAATAATATTATTATCTGTAACTTCATTTTAAATGTCATGTTACAAACAATTAAGCGTTTGAATTGCGGGAGGAAAGTTACAGCTGCTGTTTCATGGGACGTCACATCTGTAGGATTCCTATCGGGGCTGTAGTTAAACTGTGACCACATTCATCATTGTTACGATTTAATTTCCAAGAATTGTCTTGTGGCGTTGGCACAGTCGTAAGAATGATGCTTTGTCACATTGTCATGTGTAAAGATGCCTACGTAAATGAAACCATGGCGAAATAAGGGCAAGTCCCGGTTACACGCAACGATGAATTGTATCAGATTTGTCGTACGCGAAAACTGTCTGTTCTATAACACTACGTCGTCTGTTCCAAGCTATCGTCCGGTTTTCTTTCGATCGGGGAGATTCCCCGTCATAAAACCGCCGTGCCTCTCTCTCTCTCTCTCTCTCTCTCTCTCTCTCTCTCTCTCTCTCTCTCTCTCTCTCTCTCTCTCTCTCTCTCTCTCTCTCTCTCTCTCTCTACCTCTCTACCTCTCTCTCTCTACCTCTCTAAGTCAGTCTCTCTCGGTCTTTTTTTTTTTGGGGGGGGGGGGTAGATCTAGTGTTTTACTACGGTACTCACAATTAACTGCATAATGCCATACATGTATTATGAGCACGCAGGACACTCCAAACATTTTCAGTTGGTAGAATATTTTGAATTTTGTCCTGGTGGCGGCCAAAGCCTACTTTTATCGATTTTGAACCACCAAGGGATCTTTAACGTGCGCAACTTGCACATGGGACCTCCG